GAAACAAGGATGAGATTTCCTTTGTTTTATTTTTGTGTTTCTGCAGCTTCAGGTTCTGTTTGCATTATGGGATATTTACCACTGAGTTATTCAAAGCATTCTTTAGCTTACATCTCTCTAATTATGAAACTCATGAGCAAAATGGTCTCTTTTGAGTCCCTCTCCTAGTTAACGCCAGGAGTTAAGCACTCTTTTTAAAAAAAAATCATCTCTTCTTGGGCCTGTGAAGGTAATTTGGATTTTTATATCTCAATATATGCCTATTGCCGTATCTATTTTTGCATTATGTATAAAATTATATGTAATTTTTGCATCTGCATTACACTTTTATAAAATTATTTAGACTTCGTTTTCCTTCCATGGGTTCCCATGATCCCTGCTCAGCCATTTCTATCACGACCTCAGCCGTAAAGTATGCCCTCGCTCTTGGCTGCGTCGCACTTCAGGATTAGCTTCAAGAAGGGGACCTGGCTGGAACATCGTGTGAGCCCCATACAGTGGAGAATGTCTCCCGTTGCTCCACTGTCTCTGGGATGTAATGCTTCAGAGGAGTCGGAGAGTGGCCTGGTTTTTGCATCTCTATGGGAAGTTTGTTTTTTTCCTGGCCTAGATATTTGTAAGATTTTCTCCACTAAGTATGTCAAAATTTTGGCAAAACCTGTCTAAGTATGACTCTCTTTTCACCAGTTCTGCAGAAGCTGGCTAGTTTGCTCATATAGTCTGTACATTTCCATATAAAATTGTTGATTTTGTAGTTCAAAAATTGTAGAATAATGGAAATTCTGTATGGCCCAATCTATAGTTCTAAGTCTGTCTTGAGCCCACTTAAGCTTGTTTCCTATTAAAAACAAAAAAAACAAAAAACAAAAAAAAATACCTTCTTATTTGAAAACAGAAAAATTGTGGAGACTGTATACAGAGTTCCCATACAACCCCTCATCCAGTTTTCCCTATTATTAATGTTTCATATTAGCATTTTGTGCATTTGTCACAATGAATAAATATTGATGTTATTATTAGCTAAAGCCCATTCTTTAATCAGATTTCCTTAGTCTTTTTCTCAAACATCCTTTTTCTATTCCTGGATCCCATCTAGAATATACCACATTGTATTTAGTTGTCATGCCTCCTTCAGCTCCTTTTGGCTCAGGCTTTCTCTATTTTTGATGAACTAGACAGTTTGGGGGAGTATTGGTCAGGTATTTTGTAGGATGGCCTTCAACTGTAATTTGTCTGATGTTTTTCTCATGGTTAGACTGGGGTTATGGGATCTGGGGAAGAAGACCACAGAGGTAAAGTTATTTCCATCACATTATGTCAAGGGAGCTTTCAACGTGACTTATCACTGCTGACGTTGACCTTGATTGCCTGGCTCAGGGAACGTTTGTCAGGTTTCTCAACTGTCAAGTTATTCTTTTTTATCCCCCCTCTTTTCCTACTGTACCCTTTGGAACAAAGTAACTTAAGAAGTGTGTAGTTATGACCTACCTCTTTGGAGTGTGAGGTATCTATGTAAATTATTTTGAATTCTTCTGTGTAGGAGATTTGCCTATGCTCTCCCATTTATTAGTCAATCATTTACGTAAGAGTAAACTGGTGGAGATTTACTTTATACTTTGGGTTATATTCTAATACTACTTTAATTTTTGTGTTCAAATTGTTCCAGCTTTGGCCACTGGGAGCTCTGTCAATCAGCAACTGTACTCCCTTGATACAGCCCCACCAGTATGTGTATTACTCCTTACCTTCTGGTGTTACAAAATACCCCAGAATCATCTTGTCTATTTCCTGCCCCATAGAACCAGCCATTTGTCTAAGGAGCCCTGGTTCCTTTTACTGGAGAATGGTGTTAGGGACCAAAATCTGAATGGTAGGTGTGCTCATTGCTACCATTTCTACTGCTTTGGATTTTGGTTCTGTTTTTGTCCTGGTTTTCCCTTAGGAAAACTCCCTTCTCCAGTATCCACAACTGTTATCCTTTATCTCACTGGATTGATCTCTTTGGCGATTTCCTCTGAATTTTGGGAAAGTATCTCAAGTTTGCCCTCCACCTTATTGATTTCTTATTTTTCTTAGCTTTAATTCTGCTCTCTACTACCTCCAATGCAGATTCCAGTTCTACCATTTGATATCTGGTTTTCTTGCCTGTCCTCTGTACCTCCTTCTCCATCTTAACCCACAAGAACTCAGAAACTTGCTTTTCCTCTGAGGTTTCCAAAAGTAACTACCTTCCCGTCATTCCTGAGTATTATATCCTTGTATCCTCTGGTGCATTTTGTCCAGACTTGGTATTTCATTCACACACACTCAACAAACAGTTGAGCAAATTAGGTTGGGGTTTAGGTGATGGGAAATAGAAGAGTGACCAAGACAGATAGAAATTTCTGCTTCCTGGAGCTTACATTCTAATGGGAGGAGACAGACGATAAAGTACCAGGTAAAATGAATAGAAGGCCAGATACTGTTAGAGGTTGAATTGTGTATATTGAAGTCATAACCCCTCGTACCTCAGAATATGACCTGATTTGAGAGCAGGGTCATTGCAGATGTAACTAGTTAGGACAAGGTCATACTGGAATAGGGGAGGCTCTTATCTAACATGACCAGTGTCCTAAAAAGACAATATAAAGAGAAGAGAGGACATGCCATGTGTGGTAGAGATTGGTGTGATGCAGTGGTGAGCCACAAACTGCCAAAGATTACCGGTGACTCCAGCAGCCAAGAGAAAGGCATGGAAGAGTCCTAAGCCTTTGAGAGAGCACGTTCTGTAGTTATAAACCACCTAGTTTGTGGTACTTTGTTGCAGCAGTCCCAGGAAATGAAAATAGGTATCGATCAGTGAAATGGAGGAGAAAATTAGCAGAAAGGGGCAAATGGGAGTTGGAGGAACAGGGATTTCAATTTTTAAATACAGTGTTCAGGGAAAGCCTCTGGGAGAAGGGGGTGACTGGAAGAAGACTGCAAGAGGCACAAGAAGGAGCTGTGCAGGTGTCTGGGTGAGGGGAGCCTTTGCCAACAGATGAGGACTCTGTCATTGGTGCTGCTCTCCTGGCTTATGTGGTGCCAGAATCCTTTCTCAGAAGTACATGCAGGGCAGTGGAGAAAGCTGGGCCATGACATTGCCCAGACATGGGTTTGAATCCCAACCCACCATTTTTCAGTTGGGTGTCTTGGGGTAGTTGCTAACCTTTTTGAGTCTTGAGTCCACATCTGTGAAACAGGAATACAAAAATTCCCTCCATCTGAGGGCTTTGGGGAGGATGAAATGAGCAAATAAAGTGAAGGGCTCTGCACAGGGCCTGGCCTGTGGTCAATGCACTGGAAAGGTGGCTATTTCAGCTGTTATTTTCATTATGGTTAATGTCGGTGCTACTTCTGTTGGAGTTGGTTGGTTGATGGGCAGAGAGCCCAGTTTCATCCCCAGTTTCTTGCTGACTTTCAACTAGTATCTCTGCTCTGCACACAAAGGTTCTTTAAACATTAAAGTCTGTAGATGCTGGGCCTCTGGAGCTCAGGGAGCTATTTCAAGTGCCCGGCATGGGGAGATGCCTCTGCGTGTGGCATGAGAACGTCAGCGCAGCTGCAGGCCCCCCCCTCCTCTCCCAACCCTGCCCCAGATGCTTCCTGCAGAGCAGCCACCCCACCCCTGAATCCTCCAGGCCCCACATAGCCTGTGACACTGCAAGGGGGAGACCTGGCTCCAGCCACCTCGGCTGTCAAACAGGCCCTTCCCTGACTACTGTGTCCTCATCTGCAGAGGCTCCCGAGGCTGAAATGTGACCCGCAGGCTCTGTGTCTGCTCTGAAGGAGGTGGTAGACAACTGATATGTTGCTTTCCTTGCTCCCCTTCTCTGGGCTTTGGGCTCCCCATCTGTGAACTGGAGGATTTAGAAGGCAACTGCTGTAAGCTGCTACCTGCTCTGACTGGTGTAACCTGGGACCCACACGAGACAGAAGGGACATATCTGCAGTTGGCATCTGGGGTCTCCATGCCATTGACTTCAAGGGAGTGCCTGAAGGAATGGAGGAGAGGGAAAGAGGAATCTGATAGCTCTGATGACACTGGCATCTGCTTACAAACCTCCAGGAAGTCCCCAGGATAAAAGATCAAACTTCTAAGCTTGGCATTCAAGGCTCCTGGGAACTGACTTCTGTTTCAGCCTCCCTTCTACCCCACTCCAGGTACTTCTGCCTCTGTGGAATTCCTGCTGATCCTAAGCCATGATGAGCATGCCTACCCTACCCTCTGATCTTCCCTCCTACCATGCCGGGCTCCTGTAGGAGGGGATCCCTCTCTTCCTCCACCACCAAATGTTGTCTCTTTATGGAGCCTTGTCTGAGCCCTCTCCCCAGGTGGGATGAGTCACTTCCTCCCTTTGTTGCCAGGCCCCTTTGTTCCTGTTTCCCCTGAGAGGTCTCTCTGTCTTCTTCACCATGCTGGGAGCAATATGAGGACAAGGTCAAGGCCGATGATGTCTATGAGCCCAGGAGAGGGTCTGGTTTATAAAAGCTGTTTGAGAGTTTGCAGAATGAATGGACAAATGAAAGTTAGAGACTGACTTACAACTGGGGAAACTTCTAGTTGACCCTGTTTCTAAAGTAAGTATCACCATCCGGATAGGGGTCAGGAGCCTGGGCTTTCAGTTGCAACAACAAGACTTGTTTGCTGTGGGCTTTCTGCAAGACAGTTCCTCTCTCTGTGACTCTTCAAAACAGACATGATAATCATGTGTGCCCTGCGTGCCCCTGACACTGTGTTGAGAGATATAAAACCATCAGGAAAGTGCTCAGTGGCTGTGGCACCTGCAGCCAGCACCTCTGGCCAGTGTTGGACAGCAAGGAAGGAAAAGCCAAGGGAAGCCAATTCCTGGGAGCTTCTCCTGTCTGGGATGCCAAGGTGGAAATGAACTTGAGACCCAGACCACACTTGAGGCTCCTTCATAGTCAGGTAATTTGGGCACCCAGGGCATTGAGATCACCCTGTGGCTAGCCACACCTACCTTCAGCTTTTTGACACTGGTACAGGGATCATTGGAGAAGCTCTCGGTGTCTGAAATCTCAATGTCCTCGCCATACAGAACGCCAGTCAGGTCGTTCCGCACCTGTCAGCAAAGAGAAAGCAGAGGGTGGGTGTGCTGGGGACCACAGGAAGGATCAGTTCAGAGGGGTCATCCTGGGGAAGTCAACTGGGCAAAGCGAGTTTCTCTACTCCACCGACAATGCAAAGTGAGTGGTTTTGTTTTACATTATTAACTAGACCAGCCCATGAAAACTTGAGGATTCCCCAGTCCCACCCTGCAACTGACACATGGATACAAGGAGGCCAGACAGGGAAGGGACTTTCTAAGATTGCCCAGGGAGTTCCTGCAAGAGTCAAGATTAGCACCTTTGCTGGTGTTTCTCCACCACATCACACTGTCTCCAAATCAGGCTATTCAATTACGTCTTTGTTAATATGTTGCATTATTTATTTGCAACATTATTTCACTTTTATGGTGAGGAAATAGCTAAGATATTCAAAGACAATACAGAGTAGAGGAAAGAGGAAAGAAGTATGGAACCTGCCTGTGATGTTAAACATAACTATGTGTCTACTGACACACAGAATGAGGAATATCTATGGATGTGAAAAGCAAAGGCCTGCAAACTCCAGTGTTACCAGGACCAGCCAGTGTGTGAACTAGCCTGTGTGGAAGGACATTACAGAATGATAGGGCTGGGCATGGGCTCACACCTGTAATCCCAGCGCTTTGGGAGGCCAAGACGGTGGGATTGCTTGAGCCCAGGAGTTCAAGACTGCAGTGAGCCATGATCATGCCACTGTACTCCAGCCTGGGTGACAGAGCAAGACCTTGTTTCAACAGAGCAAAACAAAACAAAAGACGGCAACAGTTGGTTGCTGAGTTAGAACGTGGGTTGAGGGTTACCAGACCTTCTGATTTTTAGGGGGAAAATCAGAAATTCAGACTTTTAAAATATAAAATCCCCTAATTTTTAAATGTGGATACTATTTTGAATTTAAAAAAAAAAAAAAAAAAAAGTAAGGACCGAACCACATAAACTTAAAGTCTGTATCTGGCCTGTGGCCGTGGCTGCGCACCCTCTGACACAGAGCGATGGAAACTGGACTTTGTGTTTTGGTAGCAAGAACTAGGTTGGGGTTAGGGGATCCAGCTTCTAGTTCCTGCTGTATCACTGACTTGCTTGTGACCTCAACCTCTCATGTGATCCTCCCCTTCTCTGGGCCTCAGTTTCTTCCTCTTTAGGAGATGCTTTAAGCACTTCTTGTTCACACCCATTAGCATGGCTATTACCAAAAAGCAAAACCACAAGTGTTGGTGAAGATGTGGAGAAACTAGAACCCTTGTGTATTGCTGGTGGAAATGTAAAATGCTGCCGCTGCCGCTGCTGTGGAAAACAGTATGGCAGCCCCTCAAAAGAGTAAATATAGAATTACCACATGATCCAGCTATTCCACTTCTGGGCACATACCCAAAAACTTGAAAGCAGGGACTTGACAGACAATTTACACCCATGTTCATAAGGGCAAGTGTTCACTGTAACTAAAAGGTAGAAGCAACCCAAACATTCACCGCTCAATGAATGGATAAACGAGCTGTGGTATATACAGACAGTGAAATATTATTCAGCCTTCAAAAGGAATAAAATTCTGACACATGCTACAACATGGATGAACCCTGAAGACATCATGCTATGTGAAATAAGGCAGACACAAAAGGACAAATATTGTATGACCTATTCATACGAGATACTCAGATTAGTCACATTTATAGAGACAGAAAGTAGAATGGTGGTTACCAGCAGCTGAGGGGAGGAGGGGAGGAGGTGTGATGGTTTAATGGGCACAGAGTTTCAGTGTGGAATGATTAAAAAAAAAAAGTTCTGCAGATGCAGTAGTGATAGTTGCACCAACATGTGAATATACTTACTGCTACTGAACTGTACCCTTATAAATGGTTAAAATGACAAATTTTCTGTTATGTATATTGTACCACAATAAAAAAGAACTTCTTATTTCAACACTTGGTGGATCCTTGTAATGTATCCATCAGAGCATTTTGGATAATCTGGCCCTAAATGTCACAGGATGGTTACCATCAAGGAAGGGAGACAAAAGAGACTGTGATGGGAGCTGCCATCTTTTATTTCTTTGAGAGAAACATGAAGTAAATGGAGCCAATGTGAACATGTAATCATTCCGGCTAGCAAGTCCATGGGTGTTTATTTTACTCTGAATGCTTGAAATGCCTTGCGATCAATGTTTTGTAAAAACAAAGACGCTGTCCCAGTCAGGGTGATCCTTGTCCATCCTTCGTTTTTACCTCAACTTGATGGAAGATTGGTGACTAGTCAATGCGGGGGGAAAGTTAACTTTTCCATTGGAGTTTATTTCTGCTGCCTCAAATCCTTTTGGATACAGGTGGGTCCCATGATGAGTTCTGAGCATCACGAGGGTGTCGTGGAACAACAGTCATTATTAAACAGGGAAAACATGCACACGTGGCCCTCCTGGGAGGAGCTCAATGCGTGAGCTCCTGGAAACACACAGTCAAGCCTTGGCTCTCCACTTGCGTGGCACCCACATTCTGAGAAACTACTCAAGCTCTGAAGTCTCAGTTTTCACACCTATAAGATGGGGGCAATACAGCAAGTAGCTCACGGGGCTGACTCAAGGCCCACCAGAAACACTGAAGATGTGGAATGGCTTTGTAAACTCTAAAGTTCTACACACCACTTAGAAGTTGCAGTGATCATTCCCAGGCAAATGGCAAAGCATCAAGGCAGCAGCGGCTTGGGTATCCACATGTGTGTACTAATGTGTGCATGAAAGCTATATATAAACATGGCAGAATAAAACGTTTTATAGGTGATCAGACCTCAAAACAAACGGACAAAACACACCCTAGATGTCACCTCATCCCTCCCCTCATTTCACAGATGAGGAAACTGAAGTGTGATTCCCAGTCCTGGCTGGCTCTTCGGGATTCTGCCCGATGTGGACAGTTTCAGAGGCCCAGTGAACCAGAACAGACCAGAACAGACGGTCAGTGAGGTCCGCCACTCACCGCCCATAATCTCAGCACCAGGAGTCTGTGCTCACCTGAAGTATTTATCCTAATGGACTTTCTGGGGAAAGCAAATGGAGGCAATCAGTAATATTATAAATGACATTTTAAAGTAACAAAAGCATAGAAAAGAAACAATGTAATAGATCTTCCTCACAAGGGAAAAAATTTACATGCTCCTTAAGTGGGTAGAAAGACCCTTTAGTACACTGATGGAAGATTTACTAAGAAAATTTGTAAATACCTGGGTTTCCTTCTGTAACTGCAGTTATCTCTTATTTAAAACAGAGCCAGGCCAGGTGCGGTAGCTCACGCCTGTAATCCCAGCACTTTGGGAGGCCAAGGCGGTTGGATCACCTGAGGTCGGGAGTTCAAAATCAGCCTGGCCAACATGGCGAAACCCCATCTCTACTAAAAATATAAAAATTGGCCAGGCAGTAGTGGCATGTGCCTGTAATCCCAGCTACTTGGGAAGCTGAGGCAGGAGAATCACTTGAACCTGGGAGGCAGAGGTTGAAGTGAGCCAAGATTGCACCATTGCACTCCAGCCTGGGCAACAGAGCAAGACTCTGTCTCAAAAAACAAAAACAAAAACAAACAAACAAAAACTGGAGCCAATGTCTTGCCATTAATTTCATTTCTGCAAAATGATTTCCTTTTATCTATTAATCTCCTGTATAAAAATAGAAGTATGTTCTTCTCTGAAAGGAAAAACTCTTAATTCCTAATAAAATACAGTCACACACACACAACATACTCTCACAAACACACATACACACACACACACACACACAAAGTATGGCAGGGGGTGCCCCTGGGGGCCTAATCTGCATATTGGGCCAAGTGAGGCAGCCACCAGGAGTCTGATTTGCTGAAAGCTCTGGGCATCCTGAGAGGGATGGGGAGAGATGGGTAATGATGGGCAGGGGAGGTTAGAAGGCTGCCCCTCACCTGGAAGGGAGCCCCAGGAGGGCAGGAGACACAGACTGACAGGCAGTGAGGAGAGCTGTGAGCAGGCACCCAGGGCTGCTGGGAGGGAGGTGAGGAAGGACTGGGCTCCCTACAGGCCAGGGCCTCTGGGGTTACCCAAAGGGAAAACTCTCCCCGCTTCTGGTACAGCGGATCCAGGACCTGGCCAAGGAACAAATCCACAAGGAGCTGAAAACATTTGGCATGGAGAGGAACGGATGGGTCAGAGCCCCTGGAATAAATAATCTGCGGTAACAGGCTTGGAGGCAATAGTTGTTAACTCGACACCTCCTCCTCACCCCCGCGACAAGAACGGGTGTGGCCCATCCATGTGAGTTCGTGCCAGAAAGCATGTCCCTGAAGCAGTGGTTCTCAAACAGTGGCCCCTGCACCAGTCACACCAGCACCATCTGAGAATTTACTAAAAATGCAAACTCTCCAACCCTGCCCAGAACTACTGAATCAGACACTACGGGGTGGGGTCCAGCACCCCATGTTTTAACAAGCTCTCCAGGTAATTCTATGTTTAAAGAAATACCTTCTAAAGGAAGCAGGATACATTTTAAGTAAATGATTGATAATTGTGTGAAAAAAATTTTAATGGCTTGGATGTTTTCCCCTTGGTTAGAAGAGACCAGAATGTATTAACTGAGCAAGGCAACTGACAAAGGGTGATTAAGACTAGGAACCCCACCACCCCCTGCTTTTTTTTTTTTTTTTTTTTTTTTTTTTTTAGACAAAGTCTCACTCTTTCACGCAGGCTGGAATGTAGCAGCATGATCTGGGCTCACTGCAACCTCCGCCTCTCAGGTTCAAGCGATTCTCCTGCCCCAGCCTCCCGAGTAGCTGAGATTACAGGTACCCGCCACCACGACCAGCTAATTTTTGTATTTTTAGTAGAGACGGGGTTTCGCCATGTTGGCCAGGCTGGTTTCAAACTCCTGACCTCAAGTGATCCACCTGCCTTGGCCTCCCAAAGTGCTGGGATTATAGGTGTGAGCCACTGCACCTGGCCAGGAACTATATTTTAAAAGGTATCACATCTA